CTTTCTAATCTTTACACATTTTTTTTTCTTTTTCTTGCCTTACTGCACCAACTAGGGCCTCTAGTACAACATTGAGTAAGTAGTAACAGCAAATATCTTTGCTTATTGCCAATATTAGGGGCAGTTGGTCAGTTATTTAATGTTGTGTGTGATGTTAGCTGTAGGTTTGGGGTAGACACTTTGTATCAGATAGCAGAATTCCCTCCTGTTCCTAGTTTGCTGAGAGCTTTTTTTCATGAATAGGTGTTCAGTTTTGCCAAATGCTTTTTTTGCATCAATTTACATGGTCATCAGGTTTTTTTCCATTATTCTCTCTTTCTCTTTCACTGTTTTTTTTTTTTTGTTTGTTAGTTTGTTAGTTTGTTTGTTTTGCTGTTGACACAGCCCCAGGAGGTCCTGGGAACATGTGTCCCTGTTATTCTTTTAATATGCTGAATTACATGGATTGATTTTTGAATGTTAAACCAACCTCTAATTCCTGAGCATCTCTCATTTCGTCCTGATGTATTATCCTTTTTCTATATTGCTGGATTTGATTGCCAATGTTTCACTAAAGGTTTTTATCTATTGGAATCTCTGTTGTATACCCAGTACATGGCCATGGCCAATGCCCGAGTTGGTGTCAGAGAGCTCTAGAAGTCTGGCTGGCAGACGAAGGGGGCCATCCTAGTCAGGGAAAACAGCAGGTTCAAGCCAGGCACAGTGGCTCATGCCTGTAATTCCCAGCACTTTGGGAGGCCAAGGCGGGCGGATCACCTGAGGTCAGGAGTTCGAGCCCAGCCTGGCCAACATGGTGAAACCCCGTCTCTACTAAAAATACAAAAATTAACCGGGCATGGTGGCAGGCGCTTGTAATCCCAGCTACTTGGGAGGCTGAGGCAGGAGAATCGCTTGAACCCGAGAGGCAGGAGTTGCAGCGAGCCAAGAACGCACCATTGCACTCCAGCCTGGGTGACAAGAGCGAAACTCCATGTCAAAAAAAAAAAAAATTAGCCAAGCATGGTGACACACTTCTGTAATCCCAGCTACTCAGGAGGCTGAGGCAGGAGAATCGCTTGAATCTGGGAGGTGGAGGTTGCAGTGAGCCAAGATGGTGCCACTGCACTTCACCCTGGGTGACAGAGTGAGGCCACCTCTTAAAACAATAGGCCAGGTGCCGTGGCTCACACCTGTAACCCCAGCACTTTGGGAGGCTGAGGTGGGCGGATCATGAGGTCAGGAGTTTGAGACCAGCCTGACCAACATGGTGAAACCCTGTCTCTATTAAAAATGCAAAAATTAGCCCAGTGTGGTGGCACGTGCCTGTAATCCCAGCTACTCAGGAGACTGAGGCAGGAGAATTGCTTGAACCCAGGAGGCAGAGGTTGCAGTGAGCCGAGATTGCGCCACTGCACTCCAGCCTGGGAGACAGAGCAAGACTCCGTCTCAAAACAACAACAATAACAACAGGCTGGGCATGGTGGCTCATGCCCAGCACTTTGGGAGGCTGAGGCGGGTGGACCACCTGAGGTCGGGAGTTCGAGACCAGCCTGACAACATGGAGAAACCCCATCTCTACTAAAAATACAAAATTAATCAGGCATGGTGGCACATGCCTGTAATCCCAGTTAGTTGGGTGGTTGAGGCAGGAGAATCACTTGAACCCGGGAGACGGACGCTGCAGTGAGCTGAGATCGCACCATTGCACTCCAGCCTGGGCAACAAGAGTGACACTTGGTCTCAAAAAAACAAAACAAAACAAAACAAGAAAACCAAAACAACAACAACAACAAAACAGCAGATTCAAAGGCTGGTGCGTGAAAGATCATTGCACCAGCTGCTAAGTAGCTGTGTGACCTTGGGCAAATCTATCCTGCTTATCCCTAAAAAGGCAAGGAAAGCAAATGGGCTACCAAACATTGTGAGTATTCAATGGCACCTTGGGAAAGGTCTTGAAAAAACAAAACATGAAACGCCTTAGGAAAATTCTAATAGGAAGGCAGCCTTGCTATTGACAAGGAGGTGGGGAGGCCTGTCTGTCTGTGTAGCAGAGCACTGTACTGACAATACTTGGGAAAAGAAGGCAGGAGACCAGGTGCTACCTTGGAGTTAAGAGCCTGGGTCCCAGCCTCAAACATCTCTGTGAGCAAGGAGCCATGATGAAGGGCTGTGCTCTAAGGATAGCACTTCCTAGAGCTTCAAATCCTGCCCAGAGGCCCGGTGCGGTGGCTCACGCCTGTAAGCCCATCACTTTGGGAAGCCTAGGCAGGCAGATCACTGAGGTCAGCAGTTTGAGACCAGCCCAGCCAACATGATGAAACCCCATCACTACTAAAAATTAAAAAAAAAGTAGCCAGGTACAGGGGCAGGCGCCTATAATACCAGCTACCCAGGAGGCTGAGACAGGAGAATTGCTTGAGCCCAGGAGGCGGAGGTTGCAGTAAGCTGAGATCATGCTGCTGCGCTCCAGCCTGGGCGACAAAGCAAGACCATTTAAACAACAAAATATAGATAGATTAGATAGATAGATAGGTAGGTAGGTAGATAGATAGATAGACAGACAGACAGACAGATAGAGCAGGCAAGATGGCTGGGCGCAGTGGCTCACACCTGTAATCCCAGCACTTTGGCAGGCCAAGGTGGGCGTATCACCTGAGGTCAGGAGTTCAAGACCCGCCTGACCAACATAGTGAAACCCCATCTCTACCAAACATACAAAATGAGCCAGGTGTGGTGGCACATGCCTGTAATCCAAGCTACTTGGGAGGCTGAGGAAGAGAATTGCTTGAACCCAAGACGTGGAGGCTGCAATGAACTGAGATCGTGCCATTGCACTCCAGCCTAGGCAACATGAGTGAAACTCCATCTCGAAAAAACCAACCAACAAACAAACAAACAAAACGGGCCAGGTGCGGTGGCTCACACCAGTAATGCCAGCACTTTGGGAGGCTGAAGCAGGCGGATCACAAGGTCAGGAGTTTGAGACCAGCCTGGCCAACATGGTGAAATGCTGTCTCTGCTAAAAATACAAAAATTAGCTGGGTGGCATGTGCCTGTAATCCCAGCTACTCAGGAGGTTGAGGCAGGAGAATCGCTTGAATCCAGGAGGCAGAGGTTGCGGTGAGCCGAGATCACACCACTGCATTCCAGCCTGGATGACAGAGCAAGACTCCATCTCAAAATAAATAAATAAATAAATAAATAAATAAATAAATAAATAAATAAATAAAAATTTAAAAAATAAAAATAAAAAATTATTTATTTTTACTTTTTTTTTTTCTTTTATAGAGACAGGGTTTTGCCCCGTTACCTGGGCTGGTCTTGAGCTACTGGACTCAAGTGATCCGCTCTTCTCAGCCTCCCAAAGTGCTGGGATGACAGGCATGAACCGCTGTGCCGGGTTTTCTTTACTTCTTTTTGTCAGATATCTCATGTCCTGGTATGGTTTCCCCTTCTCCTAGGCCTGGGAGCAATTGGTTTAATGGTAATCACTGTATTTGCATTTTGGAGGACTGCGCCTAAGAGCTGTTTTTATTTAAAGAGTCCCAGCAATCAAATACAGATTGGATTGCTAGCTCGCCTGTTTCCACACAATTCCCTCCTACTTAAACTCTCTCTGTTTACACGCAGGACTTCTAACTGCTAGTTCTGGTCAAGGTACAGCTTTCTGGAGCTCTGAGAGACGGAAGAGAAAGGGTTGGTGCGCTCTACAGGTGAATGGTGGGCTGTTGAGAGAGAAACAGACATAGTCCAAGGTAACAGGAAAGCTTCTGGCACTGGTGCCTGTACAGTCAGTGGTGTCACTGCCAGGACAGGAAATAGGAGAGGCAGAGCAGGTTTGGGGGAGGGGAAGAATGATAAGTTCAGTTTGGGAGCTTTATTCATTAGCTCCTTGGGCATTACTAGGTGGCAGGTACCATGTCAGGAACAACCGTGAACAAAAGAAAGAAGATCCCTGCTCTCCTGAAGCTTACATTCCTGTATGGGAAGGACAACTTAAATAAATCAACAAACTGCAGAAGCCTGGTTCTATAGTCATGTGACAGACTGCTCTGCAAAGGCGGCCAGGGAAGACTCCATCTTGGGGAGACCTGGAGATTAGACGATGTCAGGCTGAGTATGACAATGACCCAGGGACATAGCCTGAGAGAAGCTGTTTGGATATCTAGGTCTGGGCTGGAGATGATCAGAAAAGAAGCAAAAAGCCTACTGCAAAATATGCGCAGCATATAATACTACTTATAAGGAGATGAAAAATACACATAATGATAATGATTATTAATTATTTGAGACAGAATCACGCTCTGTCGTCCAGGCTGGAGTTCAGTGGCACGATCTGGGCTCACCGCAGCCTCCGCTTCCCGGGCTCAAACGATTATCCAGCCTCAGCTACCCAAGTAGCTGAGATGACAGGGGTGCGCCGCCTCGCCTCGTCCAGCTAACTTTTGTATTTTTAGTAGAGACACTGTTTCGCTATCTTGGCCAGGTTGGTCTGTAACTCCTGGCCTCGGGCGATCCGCCCGCCCGCCTTGGCCTCCCAAAGTGTTGGGATTGCAGGCGTGAGCCACAGAGCAGGGCCTCACTGATTATTTGAGGCTGTTTAGGTTACGGTTTTTTAGATTCTGGGTTTTTTTCCCCTAAACGGGGTAGTGAGTACAGAGGCGTGAGATGTAACACGTAATTTGTACACCTTTTGCACACGTAAATATCACAAAGTAAACTTTTAAAATAAGGCAAGGCCTAGGGCCTCGCGAGGTTTCTCTGAGGACCGAGGACCAGGCAGTCACAGCTAGTTTCCACTGCCTCCACGCTCCGGCCTAGGCCAGCCCCTCTCCCCAGTCATCCGCTCGGGGCTGGCTCCGCCCCAGAACTGCGCAAACTCCCCGCCCACATCTGCTTCCTAACCAATGGGCGCTCGAGATTTGGGCCCACACCCCCGTCACGCCCCGCCCCAGACTCGCGCGCCGCGTGTCGTCACGGCCCGGCCCCCGCCACGTGACGGCCGCGCGCCGGGCTCTCGCTCCCCGCCGGGCTCGCGCCTCAGAGGCCGGTGAGGCGCCGGCGGCCACGCCGCGGAGGGCGCGGGCCGAGCAGAGCCGGGCGTTGAGGCCCGCGCGCGCATGGAGGCGTTGCCGGCAGGCCCCTGAGGGCAGCGGGGAGACACGACCCGGCGACCTCGCGCATCCCTCGAGCCGCCACGCGCTCTCGCCACCGGGCGGCGACGGGCCGCGGAGCCGGAGCGGCCATGGCGACGGGCGGCCAGCAGAAGGAGAACACGCTGCTTCACCTCTTCGCCGGCGGGTGAGTTTCCGGGCCCAGCCGCGCGCCCCGCCGCCTGCGGTCCCCTCGGCCTTCGTCCCGGGCGCGGTCCCAGCCTCCCGCGGCGGTTACCGGCCCTCCCCGGGCTACGGCGCCGGCGCCCGGGAGGAGGAAGTCCCGGCGTCGGGGGCTGGTGGGCAGGGCCAAGGGAGGGGGTCGGGCCTTCCTCACCCCCTATCCTGACCGCAGCCCCCAGGGCGGCTGTGCCCCGCCGCCCGTCCTCCCCGCGGCGTCCCCAGCTTTTTCCCATTCTGAACAGTCAGTGGTCGGTGAGTGTTGCTCGGCGGCGGTCCTGCCTGGACGCTGTGGCGCGGTCCCCCTCCCCCGCCCCCTTCTCCCGGGGCCTTTCCCGAAGCGCAGCGCCTCAGAGCCCGGGGCAGGATCGCTGATGCTCGGGTGTGCCCGAGGTTCCTCAGGGCAGTGCGGGAGGTCATCCGGACGGGCAAAACGGTCTGCGGACGTTGGACGCCAGCAAGGCCTGGATGGTGCTGGGGAACGGTGATGCTGGCGGCCACACGCGGGATGGCTAAGCCTGGGACCCGGACTAATATGAGGTCTGGAAGGTGTGTTGAGACACTTCTCGCCGGCTGGTGGACGCTTCCAACGCCGGAGACCGCAGAATTGTAAGGTGTTCGTTGTTTTGAAAGCTGCATTAGGTCTATGATCAGGCACCTTTTTTCCAGCGGAGACAATGCATTTTTAGGAGGTTGAGTTCTGCGGTTAGGAAGGGAGATGATTTTTACCTCCCTGCCCCTCACCACCTCCCCCCTTCCTCCTCCTCCCCCCTGCGAGGAGGTAAAATATTTTTGAGTATTAGTAATTTTCTTTTTTCCTTTATCACAGCCGGTGGCTTGGGGTCCTTTCGGAGTCTTCCAGATGTTTGGGGTCTTAATTTGAGGACCTCATGGGCCTGGCACAGCAATTTTTGAGTGTAGGATATTTTGCATAAAATAGTTTAACCTGGATGATCATCTTGGCTTGAGTAGTTTAGTTGCAGCCTGGATTCCTACCTGGATATGTTCCTTACAACAATGGTTGAGAAACTTACCTTCGAAGATGATTGATGAAAGCGTCCCTGACCTTTTTTGTGCTTGTATTGTGGGCAGTCACCAGGTTACTTTAACCAAAAACTTTGGTGGGTCTTCATAGATAGGAAGAGTTTCTCATTCATCTCTTCCCTGTCATTCCCTTGCAACCCTTCCCTCCATGACTCCATTGAGACTTCCTTTGTGTCTTTTTTTGTTGCTGTTGTTGTTGTTGTTTTGAGATGGAGTTTCGCTCTTGTTGCCCAGACTGGAGCGCAATGGTGTGGTCTTGGCTCATTGCAACCTCCGCCTCCCAGGTTCAAGCAATTCTCCTGCCTCAGCCTCCCGAGTAGCTGGGATTATAGGCATGCACCACCACGCCCGGCTAATTTTGTATTTTTAGTAGAGACGGGGTTTCTTCATGTTGAGGCTGGTCTCGAACTCCTGAGCTCAGGTGATCCGCCTGCCTCGGCCTCCCAAAGTGGGAGAGCCACCGCGCACGGCCCTTTGTTTTGTTTTGTTTGAAAGGGAGTCTTCTTTTGTCGCACAGGCTGGAGTGCAGTGGTGCGATCTCTGGGCTCGCTGCAACCTCCGCCTCCTGGGTTCAAGGGATTCTCCAGCCTCAGCGTCCCGAGTAGCTGGGATTACAGGCCCCCGCCACCACGTGCGACTAATTTTTTTTTTTTTTTTTTTTTTTTGAGACAGTCTCACTCTATCTCCCAGGCTGGAATGCAGTGGCGCCATCTCGGCTCACTGCAAGCTCCGCCTCCCGGGTTCACACCATTCTCCTGCCTCAGTCCTCCAGAGTAGCTGGGACTACAGGCGCCCGTTAACCTTTTGTATTTTTAGTAGAGACAGGGTTTCACCGTGTTAGCCAGGATGGTCTCGATCTCCTGACCTCGTGATCCGCCCGCCTCGGCCTCCCAAAGTGCTGGGATTACAGGCGTGAGCCACCACGCCAGACTGAGACTTCCTTTCAGAGTAACACAAGGGGGAAGCTTTCTTAAATTAAGCCACTCTATATAAATTTGTCTTTCTTGGGAATTTTAAACAAGTTGGCCTTTTTTTTTTTTTTTTTGTCTCACACGTTTTTTAAGCCAAGAAGGAGCATTAAAAAAAAAAAAAAAAAAAAGAATTTCTGCTCAGTGATTTTGACTTACTGTTTTTAATGAGGTGGTTTTTGTTTTGTTGTGTGTGTTTTTTTTGGGGGGGGGGTTTTGGGGTTTTTTTGAGACAGAGTCTCTGTCACTCAGGCTGGAGTGCAGTGGTGCAATCTTGGCTCACTGCAAGCTCCGCCTCCCGGGTTCATGTCATTCTCCTGCCTCAGCCTCCCGAGTAGCTGGTACTACAGGCGCCCGTCACCACGCCTGGCTAATTTTTTGTATTTTTAGTAGAGACGGGGTTTCACAGTGTTAGCCAGGATGGTCTCGATCTTCTGACCTCGTGATCCGCCTGCCTTGGCCTCCCAAAGTGCTGGGATTACAGGCATGAGCCACCGCGCCCAGCCAGTGAGGTGGTCTTTTAAATTTTTTCTTTGTATTCCAAGCCAGGAGAGTTGCTTGTGGAGAAACCTCTGTTGAGGCGCACTGTGAAATGGATGGCCCTGTCTTGTTGAATCTCCCTCTGTACCCTTCACTGTGCCCTCTGGCTGCCAGATTCTCCTGCTAGGGCACTAGCCTTTTACCTTGTGATGGAGTAAATCTGCAGTGGCCAGCAGAGTTCTCCTGCTTGATTAAGATGTAGGTAGTTTATTAGGATATCGCCTGAAGCCATTGTATTTAACAAGTTTCCCTTCCTGTATTGGCAGCAGTTTGAGATTCAAGAAAGAAACGACAGCTTCCAAAAGGATGTTTTCAGAGTAACTAATTGGATTTTGATCCACTCTCACTAGCCTAAAATATTTTACTTCACTTTCTGTTAGGGAAGAACATGAAAGGAGCTGAGTGTAAAATGGCTGTATTGTATGGTTAAAATGAATCCACCCAGAGGTCCCACCTACTTCGGTGGAATATGTGCTGCTTTGCTCCAAGTAACTAGTTGCCACGCCACTGTTGTTAAGCTGGCGTGTTTCCAAAAAACGAGGTGCACTTCCTTTGAAAAGAAGTCAGAGCCCCTACTTTAAAAATCTGTCACATTTCTCTTGTTTATTGAATAGCCATTGGAAACTATAACAGCAAATAAGTTTAATACTGTTGCAAATTAATGATACTGAACAAGCGTTTCTTTTTTTTTTTTTTGAGACGGAGCCTCACTCTGTCGCCCAGGCTGGAGCGCAGTGGTGCAATCTCTGCTGACTGCAGCCTCCGCCTCCTGGTTTGAAGCGATTCGATTTGCGTGCCTCAGCCTCCCAGGTAGCTGGGGTGTGTGCCACTACGCCCAGCTAATTTTTGTATTTTTAGTAGAGATGGGGTTTTGCCATGTTGGCTAGGCTGGTCTCGATCTCCTGACCTCAGGTGATCCACCCACCTTGGCCTCCCAAAGTGCTGGGATTATACAGGTGTGAGCCACCACGCCCTGCCTGAAAAAGTGTTTTATTTTATTTTTATTTATTTATTTTTGATACAGAGTTTCACTCTTGTTGCCCAGGCTGGAGTGCAGTGGTGTGATCTCAGATCACTGCAACCTCTGCCTCCCAGGTTCAAGCGATTCTCCTGCCTCAGCCTCCTGAATAGCTGGGATTACAGGTGTGCGCCACCATGCCTGGCTAATTTTTTAATTTTTTTTAGTAGAGACGGAGTTTCACCATGTTACCCAGGCTGGTCTCCTACTCCTGACCTCAGATTATCTGCCTACCTGGGCCTTACTTCCCTAAGTGCTGGGATTACAGGCATGAGCCACCACACCTGGTCGATTAAGTAATTTCTTTCTAATCTCCTATCATTGCTAATTTTTTTGCCATTATAAATACCTAGACATCCTGATGTCTACATGTGTGCTTTATTTCCTTTAAATAAACCAGTACAAGTACAATTGCTGAGTCAAAGGTTTTTAAGGTTTTTGGTACCTACACAGCACATTCATAAACTGTCTTTCAGGGTGAGTGAGTTCTGCATGAGCTTACCTTATTTATTTGATGTTTACTGCCTTTAGGGTTTCTGCTGTCTTCTGCTTTCTTCCCTCTTACCCTCATATCTGGGTGATATTGTTAAAAAAAAAAAAAAAAAAAAAGAAAGAAAGAAAGAAAGAAAGAAAAGAAAAAAAGAAAGAAAGAACTCAAGCACATTTTATTGTACAAAACCTGTCTTTTTTTTTTTTTTTTTTTTTTTTTAGATGGATTCTCTCTCTGTCGCCCAGGCTGGAGTGCAGTGGCACATTCTTGGCTCACTGCAGCCTCCACCTTCCGGGTTCAAGCAATTATCCTGCCTCAGCCTCCCTAGTAGCTGGGATTAAAGGCACATGCCACCATGCCTGGCTAGTTTTTGTATTTTTAGTAGAGACGGGTTTTACCATGTTGGCCAGGCTGGTCTCAAACTCCTGTCCTCAGGTGATCCGCCCACCTTAGCCTCCCAAAGTGTTGGGATTACAGGTGCGAGCCACTGGACCCAGCCCTGTCATTCCTTTTCTGTTGTTTAAACCACCTCGTCAAGAAGAACTCAGAAGTGCTCTGAGGTGGCCCTTCTGTGTGTAGGCTTGATTTGCTGAAGACGAAAATCGTATAAATTTTCCCCATCAAATAGCATGGGGGTTCTGGTTCTGTTAGTGTTAGCGATGTCCTTCATATGCTGGGCAGGCACTTCACATAGCACAGTGCCCATTTAGATCTACCCAGTACCTGAAATAGCTGTCCTTAGATTTAGAGGTTGATCCTGGATTAGTTGCTTTGGGTCTTATTTTTATGGCATGCTTTTTTGTTTCATCATCCTAGCCTTTAAAATGTATTTTGATGGGAATATGGTATCTCTTTAAGATCTTAAACTAGGACAGGCGCGGTGGCTCACGCCTGTAATCCCAGCACTG